TCCATTTGTGACAGCTGCCACTGCATCTTTCGTTGTATCAGGTAAGGCTGTGCCTATGCCGGTCTTCCTTTGATACGTAGCATTTTCCATAGAGATATCAAATAGGAAAAAAGAAAAAAAAAGCATTTAATACGTGTCTTCGGGACGCTGCTTCATGCCAAAAGACTAGAAAGAAGCAGGTACACAGAGTCACACTGGAGTACCAATTAGGGAAAACTCCGGAATGGTAGACTACTACAATACTACTAAGCCTCTATCTTTATCTTATAGTCTAACAAAATAGGTAATATGACTAAAATAGCATGGAAATGTATTGAAGATTATTTTTCTACAACTAGGGAGAAGTGGGCCACACGTGGGGAGAACTGGGCAGATGGTGGTCCACTTCTCCCCATTGATAGTTAACTATTCAAATGTATGTTTTCTTCAACATGTAGAACAAACGAAAAATAAGTAATTAGATAAGTTCTATAACTATTGTTACACTTACCCGACCTGTTTTGCTCCTCTTTGTGGTAAAGTTGCGAGTTTCAAAAATCAAGTATTTCAACTTTTTCTTGAGAAAAATGTCTTTTCCACTTCATTCACTCAAACAGCCTTGAAAGAGAAAGAAGGTTGCTTCCTTGTGCTGGAAACAATATTTTTGATAGTTTTATAAAATTATAATATGCAAAATTGCACTAGACCTCTAGATTTGGCTCCTCGGGGGTGGCCCACTTCTCCCCACTCTCTCCTATATCGAATTACAGTAAATACAGTATTACACATTCTCAACTGGATTTTCAAATATATTGCATATTTAATTGGTGTTTAATGAATTTGCCATACCATTCCATTCACACACCCCTCCTCTCTGTAGAAATAACATTCCAGTTGACAACCATCGCGTAGTGTGGAAACACATCCACGCAAGGGCTGAAAATATATTTTGCGAGTTGTCTCCTTTCCCAGCCCACCTGCTGCTCGGTTGCAAACCAGATTGACCGAAACTAAAATAATTGATTTTTCTGTAGGAGTTTTACGGCACTTTCATCACAATAAGTCATACTATACGTATAAGTAGGCCTACCGAAGATTGGGGGTACTACTAGAGACGAAAATACAAAGACAAGAAGGAGGAAAGACAAAGACGATAGATGTTTGATAGGAGAGAAGGGACAAACCACACCAGAGCGCCCGCCAGCCACCCATGAACCAGTTGTGGAGTAACTCAAGTAGAATTATTGGATTCGAGGGGAGCTCAGATCAATAATGAATTTGTATGCACATCCATGTACAAGGGCACGTATGCACACAGTTCCATTCTGGGGCGCTCTCACCCTTGCTGAGTCCAATCTGTTTGTTTTTGGGGTTGGGTTTTTTATTTTTTATTTTTTTCCCTTCGACCTTCCTCTCCTTATCTTATACACCTTCTCTTCCTTTTAAGAGTTTTCAGCAATTCCTTCTTTTGCATCTTCTCCATCTTTTGCTACCCCCCCCCCCTTTTTCTCTCTCCTTCTCCCCCCCCCACCCCCCCCCACCCCCCCTCTCTCTCTCTCTCTCTCTCTCGTGTGCCTGCTCAAAGTTTCATAACCTCATCAACTATTTTGACTCAAAGTACGTAAGGGTTTTTATCAATTTACGTGCTAGATGACACGCAAAGGCTATTTGAAGGCTGACCTTTATATAATTTAATGTTTAAAGGTTTCAAAGGTCTGTGTTTTGAAAGATCGAGTCGACACTCGGCCAACACAATCGAGATAAGGACACAAACAACAGTTCCTATGGGTGGTACAGAGGCACTTTACATCATAATTTTTCACGATCGTATATTATACTTCCTTGAACTATTGAGAATTGAAAATACGCACACACACACACACACACACACACACACACACACACAGACACACACACACACAAGCACCTCATGAAGTCATCCGCCTATTCAGCTATCCACACCAAAAGGAGCGTAACTCGAGATCACTACAAAAACCCGTAAAACCGATAGCTTTGTTGTTTTAGTAGCTTAAGTTTTACGGCACTTGCAACACAATATGGTCATATAAGTGCCGAAGATTAGAGGTTTTACAAGAGAGTATAAGGCACACAAAAATAAGGAGGAGAGATCAGGACCATAGATGTTTGATAGGAAAGAAGGAGCTAGCCATAGCAGAGCACCCGCCAAGAACCTGTTAACCCCACTACGTAGTTGTGTGTCCCACTACACTAGCGGTTCTTAGTTTTAGTACAGGTTTTACGCCGCTCGCAACTGCATAAGGTCATATGAGCGTCAGAAGATTAGAGGCGTTACAAGAGAGTAACAAACACAAAAAAGGAGAAGGGGAGATAAGGACGATAGATGTTTGATAGGAAAGAACAAGCAATTAAACCACACCAGAGCACCCGCCAACCACCCACCCAGTCGTTCTTAAAACTTGTTGGAGGTACTGAACACCGCAAGTTACATACGTGCATTCTTATTGAACCTTTCCAGTGGAGTGAATGGTGAGAGCAGAATGGACGGACAACACTCGCATGAACGCAAGCACGCACACACACACACACACACATACACAGATACACACAGACAGACACAAACAGACATATAGACAGACAGACAACCACCCAAAGGTGAAACTTATACAGAATTTCGAAATACAAAAAACATGCACTGTAATGACCAATCTGCGTCAGAATAATTGCTAGCTCTCGTTCAATTTGTCTCACGCTGACAACAAGAAACCTAGTTTTTATCTGGTATTACTTCTTCAAATAAGTACGAGTTACAGTCCACAACAATGTAGCTTTTGTTTATTCTTTATTACGTCCAAAGACAAAATGAATAAATAACTAACAAAATAAATAAGCACATAAAAAGAAACAAAAAACTAAGTTCAGTACAGAGAATAATATAGACCTATATTTGTTTTAAAATACACACATTAACCTGCACCCAAAATGTACATGTATATAGTTCATAACTTACAGGTTATGGAAAAAAATATTGGTAATAACAAGGGTCACTTCAAAATATCAAAACTCAAGAAAGTATGAGGTCACAGTTGTTAACTCCAAACCTACACAGAAGGAACACAATTACTTGTACTAAGTTCTCATATTACATTCTTGTTTGTTGAAAAATGGAGATTGACTCCAGAAAATTGAGCTTTTCTTTAGTTGGTCTCTTTGCAATCAATACCATTGATATGCACAAGTGCTTATACATTTTTTCCTTTCATATGCAAGGTTTTTGTTGGTCTAATAGTTCTATTTCCAACATTATGATTTTAATTAAGAGAGAATTTTTCTCTTCCACTTTCAGGTGGGTTGCGGTATTGTCACAAATCATTCCTTCCATAAAGTAAACAGGTTACCATTACTATTACTATTACTAAGATATTCATAATGTAATCATGTATCAGACCAAAAAAATCAGTGCTGAGATTCTCAAAAATTTTGTGTAGATTCTTAAATAATTGAGTAAAATACAGCTCAATATAAGAGGCACATATTTCTTCCCCCAAGAATTTATACAGAAACATCCTTGTTGTCCCAATGGAATTGAAAAAACCCCGAATACATGCAGATGTAAATGCAAGAATACATTAGGGTCTTTTGGAAAATTAGCTTTTCTGGACTTTGTGGCTTTTCCCCTGGATACCATCAGTATGCTACAACGAAGTGATTATTCGGACTCGAGTCCGAATATGAAAAAATGTTATTCGGACTCTGATTCTTGTCCAGCATGACATCACTTCCGACTTCCTGTGACTCGTGAATCCGGCTTCCTGTCCTGCCTCACTCGTGACTCGCCTCAGGCTGGGTAGAGAACGGGATCACTTCGGGCAAAAAGGCGTTTTGTGCAGGAGCCGAGTTTTAATCTTATGATGAATTTGAGGCCGGCCTGAAAAGTTATAGCGCTTCTAATAAATGTTTATTTGTCAAGAGGTCATCAGAAGCAATTAATAAAGATGGCTCGTTAGCGTGTGTCGGGGTCGGATGGGCGGCCTGCACACGTGTGGCTGTGTGCGTGTCGGGGAGGGTGGTGGGGGGGGGGGGGGCACTATCGGTCCGGGCTTTGAACGTCGCAAACACGATCGGCAGATAAGGTGTGGGGGGAAATAAAAAATGGCGGAAAATTGGAAGCATGTTTTTATTCGGACTCGAGTCCGAATATGAAAAAATGTTATTCGGACTCAAGTCCGAATAACGACGGCCATGCTACAATGTGTGGATATGATATCTTTCTTTACTACTTCGAAAAAAGAAAAACCATAAAAGCATTCTAAGAAAGGGGCAACCGATGCCCTTTCCCAATGCTTTATGAAGGAATAGGGCAGGAAAAAAACCCTCTACTCTGGGAGAAAGTATTTTTTTCATTCATTTTTTTAATGACTGAAAAAAATATTTGTACATAAGATGATGTATATTTGTGAATTTGTGTTTGGGTGTCTGTATACACAACTGTGCCACCCAATCGTTTGGACTGAGAAATACATCATTGTGCATCGGATGAGCACCAGAACACCGGGGAAAGAGAGACCATATAAAAAGAGAATAGATTTTTTTAATTCGTCAATAATAATTCCCCATAATAAAGAAACTTCAGCAGTTGAATACTTTTTGATTGGAAACAGTTCAACAACACTTGACAAACACTGGACACTAAGTACAGGAAAGAGGCTGGGGGCATATAAAACTATGCACCTGCACTTTTGTGTAGAAATCATTTGATGGAATTTGCCAAAGAAATTGAAAAAAAAAAAAAAATCAAATTCAGGATGATTTCATTTCAACAGAGCTCTGGTTAATAAAAAGAGACAAAATGTAACATATTTCATCTAGAAAAACTCTCTGCTTTTTCAAAAGTATGGACGACACTGACTTCTGTACCCTTTGGTGTAAACAGCGCAAGTCTACTTCATGCCAATTTGTTTGATAAGTTAAAAAATAGTAAACCATTTTGTGTCTGATTTTCGAAAGCAAAAGGGTGCAGATCAAGATGGTATCTATTTTTATTTTACAGTAAAATTTCAGAATGACAGGTGGTCAAAATAAAGCCTGTTGCAGTCATTAAAAAATACAGGGATTTAATAAAAAATCATATTAGATAATAAATCTACAATTCAGTATTATATCTTTGTAAAGTATTAAGTGTAATCTTCAGCAAAGGATATTAGCAAAGCATACTAACTTAATCACCAGCTGTCCAGCTGATGCATCTGACTGACTGAATGATTGTTTAGATTTTGTTTAAGTTTTTCTATGTCAAAGAGCCAATAGAGGGAGAAAAAATGCTCTCCAGTCTGAAAAAAGTAAATATGTGTCACGGCGCGGTGGTATCACAGGATGTAAAAAAGCAGTTAGCACACAATTTTAGAAAAAAAACCCAGGTGACTTGGCTGGCAAGAAATAATAAAAATATATATAAAATCATTCAAAAAGCTTCATAATCAAAGTTATTAGAAAAAAATGGTTTTCTAACAAAAAAAAGCGTATATTGAACTGACAGTTTTGCTAAATAGGTCAAACAAAAAAAGCTTTTCACATTGCTACTATATATAGCTGTTGAACACACTTCCCTAAAAATAAAAACACTATTATAATTGTAACATAAATTGCGCATACATTTTTAGAGTTTAATGATTGGCTCCTTATCTAGATTACAAACATGTCAATAGTCTATAAATGTCTGTCAAAGTACAAAAGAACAAAAATGACCACATCGCTAAACACTGATTCAATGAATAAAGTATTAATAATACACATAAGCAAAAAAATTCCTGCAAAAGGTAAATAAGAAAGGTGGGCTGTGAAGGATGGATGCAACATAATACATTTTGATAAATATGCATTTTGGTTAACAACAGTCCTTACACTGGGAGAAAGATAATGGTACTCTTTAAAAAATAGCAACAAATATAAAAATTGCGTGGTTCTACAGATAATTAATAGGTGTATTAACATATCAAAAATCTACTTTTGAAATCGTGGAGGAAATTTTTAAAAAATACATTTAAAGTTGTCACAAAAGTAAAACTTTAATTTTGACCAAATTAGTTTTCCGTACTTGCTTTTGGGCGTGGATTTTTAAGCAGATTAGTACAGATTTATAGCCGAAAGTAAGTTAATCATAATCAACATCTTTGTCTTTGTTTTTGAACCGGAAATTGATGACTCTTCAGATACTAAAGTTAATGAATACCAAACCCGTTTTGGCTACTTTTTTGGAACTACCGATTTTGCTACAACTGCGATTACTTCCAGTGGTCATTGCACCACTATCAAATTAATATGTATTAACATAGAGTGAATGTTATTTTAGCGGCTGTACAACATAAATAGGGCAATATAAATTTGACTGAATGGCAGCAAAAACGCAAAATCTTTAGCGAAGCATAGAAAGCAGCAGACTGAAACAAAAACTTCATTCAACTGTTCAAGGGTTCCAATTCAGCATTCACTGCATTTTATTTGGTCAGGAAATGTGAGATGTGAAATGGTATAGATTGAATGCCTCTATCAACACTATTACTTATTTAAGAGGCCGGATCTCCGAATTAAACGTCAATCTCTGAAAGGACCTCACAAAATAAGAAATCCATATAAAGTGCCTTCCCCAAGGACACAACATCAGACTGAGCTGAGTTTCGAAACAAAAAACCACCATGATGACAGGTCTTGCAGCCTAACTACTAGGCCACCAACGCCACCGTTGTCATGAAAGAAAACTCAGTCAAACAAAGCCATTTAGGTGCAAAGAGAAACCTAATTTCAGGACACAATAAAGAAAGGATGACTGGGCAGCAACTGTTCCTGATCATTATGAATTTGCTACTGACTGATGCGTAACTGATTTTGTTCACCACCAGAGTTGCAGTTGCAAGTTCAGAACTTTTAATCAAGCAACCACCATTTTCAGTTGAATTAGGCGTTGAACCTTCCAAAAAGTAAGGAAATCAGGAAGAACTGAATATTATTTAAAGAGATCATGCTTTCAAAAGGTTCTATCCTATCTTGAGGCAAATGCAAACTAGCAGATCACAATTCGGTATTGGGTGACCATTATGGGAGATAATCTCCATGAGGTGAAAAGAAGCCAACACCCAGCATTGACTTTACATACTACACAGCTGAGGTAAATTCAGATGCACTGTACATCTTTCAAAATGGCAAGACTTATTACTGAAATAACATTGTCGCCAGTACATTTATTTGACATTTTATCCTTTGGAACAACATACAATCCATAGTCCGGCATCTTTCAATAGATGACAATGTTCTCTTATGATAGCTGTGGATATCAAAATGATAGTACATTTCATCCAACTCTGCATATAAGCACACCTATCACAAAATATACACTTGAGAAAAATTATTTTAAGGTACACACATATGAGCAATTCTCAAAATATGAGCACAACGGAGTGCTTCTTTTTCTCCATAAGTGACAACATAAAAACCGAATTTGTATAAAAATCAGGCTTTCTATGGCAAGAAATAATAAAATGCACAATATCAAATAGGAAACCGATCAACAAAGTCCAAATTTTATTGTACTTGTTTTTGCTATATTGTACAGTTGATGTCTCCTACAAGGTTTGATATGAATGCCATACCCATTAGGCCCACTAAAGATACTCAAAACATATAGATTACAAGAATGAAAACTGTACAGGGGTTCAAAGTAACTACTATTTTAATTAGATGCTTATTAGCCCTGCATTTATGTTTGAAGTTGAACAATATCATCCATGTTTCTGATATTTCATCTAGTACGAGGATGGTACTCTCACTGGAGTAATTTAAGAGATTTTAAAAGTTAGATCAACTTTTTTGTGCTTGTGTTTTATCTGATAATCTAATCAACATGAAAATAAGAGGTAACATGCACTTTAGACTGCATAAAAGCCAGCAAAGCATAATGATTCAAAGTTTGAAAAAATTACCACATGTTGCAATGTAATACTTTTTCAGAATGGTTTTGACATATAAAACTGAAGTTATTTTGGAACCTGTTGCGAAATCAAAAAAATATATAGAAGATTATGAATATTGATATAATCAAGCCTGAATATTTCATTCAGCAGATGACACTCTGTGACTAGAATACACTTTATTGCAGGTTGAAAAAGTATTCACTGGAGTCATTCAAAGTATAGCCATGAATTCATTATTTGGGTGGCAAGGTTTAGTTTAGTTTTAGTAGACGTTTTACGGCGCTCGCAACTGCATAAAGTTGTATAAGCGCCAGAAGATTAGAGGTGTTACAAGAGAGTAACAAACATAAAAAAGGAGAAGGGGAGATAAGGACAATAGATGTTCGACAGGAAAGAAGAAGCAAACCAGACTAGAGCACCCGCCAACCACCCACTGGTAGCAAGGTTGTGCTGACTGACAGTTTCAAAATAAATAAAAACATAGTGTGGTAAAAAAGAAAAGACCATGGGTTCTTGTTTCTTATTATAAAGAGAGGCACATAGACAAATAGGTGGTCATCTAGTTATGGAAAAGAGCAAACAGACAGAAAGAAAAAAAAACAACCCCTGATACATGTACCATAAAGAAATAGGACCTACCAGTGGAATTCTCAATCATCCACCGAAGGGGTTCTCAGACAACTGAAAATATCAAACTGGATTACTTGACATGTTACTTCTAACTTCAGGGAGACAACTTGGATATTTTTACTGTGTCTGAAAATGAAACACTTTTGTTAGGCATTTCCAACATGCAGATTCATTAATTACGCATAGAAATTAAGCAAAGCTCAAAACAACTGCTCATCGACTACTCATTTACCTAATATAACACTACTCATAAAATCAAACTTAGAAAAAGTGACACTTTCACATGAAAAAAAACCCCACAAGAAAAAGAAAAATACATTGAGACAGAAAGTTACCCTTTACAGCGAGAGAGAGAGAGAGAGAGAGAGAGAGAGAGAGAGAGAGAGAGAGAGAGAGAGAGAGAGGGAGGGAGGGAGGGAGGGAGGGAGGGAGGGAGGGAGGGAGGGAGGAGGGGAGAGAGAGAGAGAGAGAGAGAGAGAGAGAGAGAGAGAGAGAGAGAGAGAGAGAGAGAGAGAGAGAGAGAGAGAGAGAGAGAGAGAGAGGAGTATTTTACTCAACAAAAAAATAGGCCCCTTTGATTGTTGCTTTACCCTCCCATTTGCATAATCCTGGCTATTGTTTCTATCTCTATGAAAGCATGATCTGCTTGTCTGTGTACTTTGTAGATTTGAAAGCCAACTTTTAAAATTTTTTAAAGCTTCATCATTTAGTCAAAATACATAGTACATCCATGACAGTTTTGATTCAAAGCCAGGGGTAAGTTCTAATTACAGTTGAACCTACTCTGAAGGCTACCTGTCCAAGACAATCACTAGTACAAATGACTACTTCCCACTCTCCCGGCTTAGCATTTTTTAGACATCAAAGTGACACTGTCCAAAACATCTACTCGTTTTAGACAACCACTTTTCTCCTCAACAATAGGTGGCTTTTCGGACAATTTCCTCGACTGTATTTCACACTCCACGTTACTGTGCTGAGTAAGTAAATAAGTAAACAATGGGCTGGTTTTGTGCACTGAAACGCAGTCAGAACTATTGATATAAAACAGAATTGACATATACTTTATTTTCCATTGATTTAAAAGCTGTTTTAAGTGGATGTCAGAAAGGTGTTGTGTATTTTTCAGTTTAGAAATATAACAACCTGTCTTTCATGGACAATCTAGCAAGCTTGTTTTTAAAATCTACCAAATTAAAAACAAAACAAAACAATCAATGCTATGAGCAGACACATTGACGACCCTCCCCCCGAAAAGCAAAAACAAACAAGTAAGAAAAGAACAACAGCAAATAGATAGACATCAGCCCACAACATAAAATAAACAATACATAAATTGAAATAAATAATCCACAGTATCAAAACAAATAAAAGGTGAATTGGCTGAATAAAGAACGAGATTGTGGCTGTCTTTTCAGGTATGCATACAGGAATGTGATATATATTATATACTTCAGGCTCTATTCTTTCAGCTCTCGCCGACTTCATTATACACTTCAGAAATGTCTACATTTGTGGATTTGATCATAAAAAAAGAAAGAACCATAAAACCAATGTACACTTTCCCTCAAATCAGGCTTGCAATACTACATGAAGTCACATAGTCATTTTCAATGATCCACATTTATAGACTGGAAATTGGCTCCTGTAGATTTTGGCCTCCATATGGAATGATCACATGAGCAAATGTATCATGGTAATTATGTCAACAAGCAGCCGCAAAAGTAAGACTGCACAGTTGAACACTCCTCCCTTGAAAGAAATAACGATTCAACAGAAAAAGGAGACTCACACATATCATAGTCATTTATTCAGAAGGCAAGAGTAACTTTTCCCCACATGTTCATGTGACATGTTTTCCTTAGAGGTTTCAAGTAAAGGCACGTTCAGTTTGACCCAGAAATATATCTGACTTAGGTTTATCAAGTCTGGATGTACTACACAAGTAGTATCTCAAGGAAATCTCTTCATCATTAACTGAGCAGATATTGCAGACTCAGAAGCATGGGTATACACTGGCTATTATCATTTGTCCTGAAAGTGGCCTCAGTCATGGCCCTGAGGAATGTTCCATTCAACACTTGCTCATCAGGAAACTTCAATGAACCCCGTTGTTGCCTTATGATGTACGTGGTACATCACAAAAATGTGTACTTTCTTAGCTTTGTGCCATATAATGAGTGTCCTGGGAGTTAAAAGGATTTGTCAAACCAGGCTGCCTGTACGACACTAATGTACGCACCACTATATAATCATTCAGCTTTAATTCTTCTGTTCAGAGATTAAGCCCCAAGCACAGTGGGGATTTTTATTTGGGAACTAAAAAAGTGTACATATAATATAGTGTAAAGCGCATAGAGCTTGCTTTCGAGCGGGGTTATGCGCTATACAAATGCTATCTATTATCTATTATTACATCGGTATCAAATTTGCTTGTATTACTTTATTGTTTCAAGTGATCAATAAATACATCTAGTTTTGCAGACCATGGCCCACTCTTGCTAGATGTATACAATAAAATGAGAGGAAAAACTAAGCAATTTTCACTTATTGACTTATATTTTCAAGTGGTTCGAAATTATAGGGATATTGAGAAAATTTGGGAATGAGGAAGTTAACATTATTTAACCCAATTACTGTCACTGGTAAAGTTGCACTTGTCGTCAGGGGAAAGTCTTAGGAACAAGGATGCACCTTTAGATGTAAGAAATGAGTACAATATGATAGATACAAAGACTAGAAGACTAAAAGTATTTGGAAGCTCTTTGAAAAAGCTATAACAAACGCTGGAAAAAATTACCATTTCGACATTTTCTTCCTAAAATCTGCTTGAAACATAGAAAACTGCTGAGGACCCGGCGAAGCCATTTTCACTGACTTGCACAGCCTTGGCTGCCAGCGGTTTTAGAATAATGGACAATCTTTTTTGTTCCTCTGGTTCAAACAGAGTTCTAATAAATACAGGAGGTCCTTTTTAAAATGAGAGCACATTTGTTCAGCTTCTGAATTTTCGGGGCTCGTGTAGACCGTTTTTCGGTGGCAAGAAGAGTGCCGATCTCCTCAGCACTTGCTAGTAATAGGGTTAAGATCTCGGGTCTGAATATGTCATGAGTGGGATAGAACCAGACAGTGAGTCCATTGAGACTGAGACTGATAAGAAAGCTGTCCTGGTTTACAAGCTTAACTGAAATCAGTGTTGAAAGTAGGAACGCACACCGCCTGGCAACAAAGGGGTTAATTGTAAATTAATGTAGAATCTATCCATAAAGATTGATTACAGAAGTAATGTGCACGAGTGCGAAGTCCATAAAGCAAAACTATTAGCAGAAATGGAGATGCCCAGAAAGTGTACAATAGGTGGGAAGTGTAAACAAACTATAAAGCTAAAAACACTATAAAGCTTATTTACCATATCATCACCCTCAACGGGCATAATCTAAAAAAAAAGTTAAATAATAAACAAACCTGGAAGTTAAACATAGGTTGTGTAAAAACAATATAAAGCTTATTTACCATATCACCACCCTCGACCTTGCATAACCTCAAAAGACATGAAATAAATAAACATGAAAGAAAAAACATACATCCAAACACAAGACTAACATTTACACATTTTTAAAATTTCATACAAGATCAAAAAATAAACCCATGAAAGAATAAATAAACAACTAAATGTAATATAAATTAACGATACGTTTGAAAATGTTCATAAACATCTAAACATATGAAAAATTAATGATACGTTTGAAAATGTTCATAAACATCTAAACATGATAAATTAACGACATGTTTGAAAGTGGTCATATACGTTGTGAGTCCACCTATTCTTACTTCTCAGCAGTCAAAACAAATCCACGTGCTTTATCACTGTGGCAGTAGTCCATGGCAAGCGCTGACCGTTCACCTGAGGCTAAGCACATTCCACTGGCAGGATTGAAGAGTACTTGTTCCTGGGGCTGTAAGAGTGATTTTTAAATATTTATATGAGCATTTGTTTAAACATGGGGAAAATATTACACTACAAAATAAAGCCTGTGGCAAAATGACAGTTGTCAACAATCCTTGATCCTGTCACTTATATTATATAAGGAGATATGCGTATTAAAGCACCATGAGCTATTGTTTAGGATTTGACAGACATCACACTTTGTATTTGAGCCATATTGTCCCAAATATTAGTTCTTTTTAAATTCTAATGGACGATCATCCAATGCATACTGACATAAACATTAAACTGATTCATATAAATCCAACTTTTAATTCACACTTTCCTTTAGGGACATTCAGAGTGCATTAAATTGTTACTAGCTGAACTTAGTTTTGTGAAAATTTAAGCTTGCCTTTGCCTAGGTGGCCTCAAAGTTGATTGATTTCTGTAGGCCCCTACACATTCTTTAAATAATCATTTACTTTATATACTTAATTCTTTTTTTCCGGGCTATGAGTATACTCGCAACAGTTATATGTTCACCTCAAAGAAGCTAGTTAAGCTTGTAATTACCAAAATACGCAAATACGGCAATGCTAGCTCTGTCTAAATATTTAAATTTTCCAATGATAGCGGTTTCTTTGTTTTTGATGGGTGTAGAAGCTTGAATGATGTCTCGAAAACGCACATTCACGACCGACGAAGTACTTTTTGAAGTGGCGCTAGGTTGAGAGGGGGAATGATACTAATTTGATGAAAGTGACTTAGAAACAAGTGCTGTAAACTCCGTGGATGATAACGAACAGCATTTAGACTCATCTAATAGCGATTAAGATCAATGTGAAGGGGTCAGTACTGGAATTCGTGCTGTATCGAGGGGTAGGGCTAGATCTATAAAATCCAAAGGGACGTCGTAGGCACGGCAATCAGGGTCAAGTTGGAGGGTGGAATACATCTGAAAATCTATATTGTGCAATTGGTGTAGTTCCTATACATTTACAAAAACTACATTCAATTTCTAACATAACCGCCAAATTTCCTTAAAACCTAAAAGTAAATGTAAGAAATATAGCACTTTGAAATATACACACTGACTTCGAACTCAAACGGTGTGGTGGCCCCAGGACGAGTACAGAGTCCCTGGGGGTACGGCTAGGATAAAAAGAGTTAAACATTAATTTATTTCATTCTAAATTGAAGAAGCTGGCAAATTAACCCATAAAAATGCCAGATAATTCTATACCGGGAATAGGTATGTGCCAAAGCACAGGATTGCATAGCAGCTGTGGTGAATCCACCAGTATGTTTTAAGTCTTCCAATGTCATGACTTCATGATGTACAAAAATCATGTGTTAATTCATAGTTTTTATGAAAACGTCCAAATCAGACAACCAAAAGAGACAATCCTTGCTTACGTTTTGATCATAAGTGGAATCCCATTATTTTACCCACACAATGCTTTTGAGACAAATACATAGTGGCTCTTTTTTGTGTGCCATCCTTGTTATGTACGTGCCAAACTTTAAACATGTGTATCTTACCAAATGTTCAAATTCCTGAAAAATGTGAACTTGAGAACTCCTAACAATGGTACCTCGACTCCTCTCTAATTGAAAATTAGAAAGACAATATCTCAATTTACAAAGAAGCTAAACTTACTAAAAGTAATGCCTCTTGTCTTGTACATAACAATGCCGACACAATAATGAGTTAAAAAAAAACACAAAACACCATTTTATTCACCTTTTCTTCTGTTTGTTAAGGATGAAAAATAATTTAAGATGAGAGATTCTGCAGAGGCTGACAATGACAATACAAGCAGGCACTTGTTTTAAGATGCCAATTAATACATTTGTTTTTCAAATTTGCACAGAAACAAACTATTAAGAAAATCAACTTCCAAATTCATTGTCCATTTTTTGGCTTTCTCAAGTTTACATTTTTATGAAGATGTTTTTCTCCTCCAACCATATAGAATCTCGAAAAGCAAGTAAGTTCTAAACTTTAACCCTTAATTACTCTTTAAAAATTTGCTAAGTTTTTGGACACAAAGCCATTAAAGCTAAATATATCAGAACTCAAATGCACTAAAATTATCCATCGCTAATGATTATAATCTTTACTTTTGTCATAGAAGTGACATTTCTTATCTGAATTGCTTACATAGTCCTGTAACAGCCAGACTTGCGACCCTCCACTTGTATGGCATTTCATGAGTTGTACAACGGGAATGCCCTTTTTCTCTGTAGTTTCCAAACACAGTCTGGTTCCACTTAACTTGATAGAGTGATCATCTGAGAGAATGTATACCTAGAGGAAAATTTGCAAAATATGTTCTTCATATATCATAGAACTGAAATTCACTACTATGATTGAAAACGACTGTCAAAGGTAGATTGTTGCAACAAGACTATCAACGATATTGTGCATAAAAAGAAGACCCCCCCCCCTCCCCGCCCCCAAAAGTTATGCGACCCAAAAATTCAAGAGCATTTACTCAGATATAAAAATTTTCAGAAAGGCATCCTATACCATGCAACCCCCCCCCCCCCCCCCCCCCAACAAACAAAAAAAAACAAAAAACAAGAAAGGTAAAAGAATAAAGTGATTACTGAAACTGGTACATACAAAGAATTTTTTTGTTTTTGTGTACCTTTGTCGACCAGGAGAAAGCGTTCGACAGAGAGAACAGAAACAAATTGTAGAAAGAACTCGAAAACTAAACTGAAAGAGGCCAACTTCTAAATAATAATAATAATAATAATAGATAGCATTTGTATAGCGCTTATCCCCGCTCAACAGCAGGCTCTATGCGCTTTACACTATATTATTACCCCAGCAGACCATAGAACACTCTGAAACATTTTCAGCTTCCCGGGAAGCATACAGTGCAAGCAGCTGATTAAGCGCTTAAACACTAACAAACTGACAAGATCTTTCGCTGTCTATAGCTGGGTACCCATTCCCACCTGGGTGAAGTGAGGAAAATTTGTGTAAAGTGCCTTTCCCAAGGACACAACGTCGGGTCCCTGACGGGATTCGAACCCACGACCTTACAGTTGCGAGTCCGAGAGCCTAACCACTAGGCCACCGATGCCACATAACATCTGTGCCCTCTACGAGAACAGCATAAAAACAGTAAGAACGTCAGAGGGATTGACAAAATGGTTCGAGATAACATCCAGAGTAAGACAAGGTTGTGTCCTATCACCACTACTATTTAATATATATATGGATAGAATTACAAAAGAGACCAACACAGAACCAGATGCCCAAAATGAATTACTATTCGCTGATGACCAAACCCTGGCACACAAAGATGAACAAAGTCTCCAACACCACACCACCAGAATTTAAACGAAGAATGTAACAACTATGACATGAAGATCAACAACAACAAAACAGAGACAATTAAAGTAAGCAGAAATCCAGGACACTCAGGATACACATCAACAACAACAGTCTCAGACAGGTCCAAGAATTATGTACCTCGGAAGTGTACTCACAGAGGATGGGCGACTGAACAGAGAAATTGAAAAATGAGTACAAAATGTCAATAATTTTAGTTACCAGCATGCTCCAATACTGAAACATCCTAACATCCCCATGACAACAAAACTCAAAAAGATCAACACTATATTCATCCCACCACTCATCTATCAATGCCAAACATGGACCCTGAACAAGACATTGGAGCAAAGAATTACAACAAGTAGTAAACAAGACCAGGCGAGACAAAATTAGAAACCCAGTAGTCAGAGAAATGGTGGGCACAAATGATGTCTGGCATCACATCCAACACCAAAGAATCAAATGATTTGGAAATCTCATGCGATTACCAATACACTATCCAGCACAACGTGCCTACATAAAAAAAATCAATGGCAACAAGGCTAGAGGGCAACCGAGACAGACCTGGATAGATGGAGTCAGGGAAACACTAACAACTCATGGCATACCCCTGGCCCAAGCTCTCCGGCTGGCGACAGAGAGACGTTAGTTTCTTTCTGCGACACCCAAAAGGGTATAAGCGGCGGATAAAAATAAAAGTAAAGTAAGTAAGTGTACCGGGGCACTGGGAAGGAACTATACAAAATATATACATTCAATTAACCCTATCCGTATGCACTGGGGTCATTTTGTACCCCCAGGGTTGTATTCTTCGTGTTTTAGAATACTTCAAGTATGAAGATCTCTTTGAAACTTTCAGTATTTCTCAAAAGATCATTTAGACAGACTGCTATGCGAAGTGTACGGATCGGATAAACGAGTAAATTTCCTCTTTGGAAAGTGGTGGCACAGAGTTCCCCACATCGTATGGATATGACAGTAAAACACAACGTACGGATAGGGTTAAACATCAAATATGTGTTCAATAACCTGAAATATTGCCTTAAGCCATAACAAAATTATTTGAAAAATGCTGCTCAAGGTTCTTTTAACGTCTGGGAAAAGAAATGGTGAAAAATGCAAAACAATCCCCAATAATTTTTTTGCATGCAACTCATACTTACCCCTGCCTTTGATTTCAGATTTTTACATTTTTCAAGAAAAAGAGCATCTCCTTTGGCGGGAGTTCCTGACTTTGGAATGGCACACATTTTTTTGGGAATGTATTTCACCTACAAGAAAAAGAAAAAATAAGAAATTTTGAATAAACTAATTAGCCCATGAGAACATAGACAAAAATTTCACTTAATTTTTTTTTAAAGCCATCGTTGATACAAGACTACAGACTTCAGTCTCATTTTCAAAGCTATAGCTGTGTATTCAGAATTAAAACAAAAACCTGTCTAAATATGAAAAAAAAAAAAAAGTTTTGTTTGTTCAACAGCAACACAAAGAAAATTAAAGATAAAAAGCACAATATTATATATTTCATCTTAACGCTGCTACTGAAAGCAAATTTATGGATATTGGTGACAGTGAGTAAACTACAGGTCAACTCACGAATCCTTCAGTGACAACACGAGTTTTCTTTTCTGCCTGTCTCCTGTAGACCGCATCACTCACTTTAGGCTCTTCACCTGGAACAAGCTGTCAAAAATTATATATATTAGTAAAATAAAGAGCAATAATAAATACCCTGTACACATTTTCAGCACTAATGAAAAGTTGAGAAAAAAAAATACTTCAAATATGGCACGAAAAAATATTTACTTTTTAGGTCAGCTTTATTACTTATAGCTCTTATTTGATATAAATTTTAAGAGATTCTTGTATCTCTCGCCGACTTGTGTCTTTTTCTTTTCCCCTGCATCCTGTTTACGCAATACTCCCCAAAATAAACATTTTAAAACAAATCAAAAGTTCTATACACACAAGAACAGCAAGTGAGTCAAACAAAATTTCCAGTATTTATCACCTGCATCTGCATAGAAAGTTATCTACACAGTTAAAGGAAACCATAAAGAAATAAATCAAGTTCTACAAAGAGATATTAAATGTAAAAACCTGTTCGGGGTGGACATTTTCCAAAAACCACTTGAAAGATTTACACTTCAACCTTTTCCTAAGTTCCACACGGTCACTGACATCCCCATAGTCCATAGTTTTAGCTGTTTGTCGAATATCATAGAAATGTTTCTGAAAAAAACCAGAATGAACAAAATTACATTGAGGAAGGCATGTCATTATGACCCTATGAGGTTTCCGCATTTGAACTACATCTGCCCATTTTACTCTTCTTACCCATATCAACTAAGAACAGTTTTGTTCATCTGTCATTAATCATTACTGAAAATATCACAGCTACACAGTTAAAATGGCCATAATATAGAGAGAATATAATTTGCTGAAGGAACCCAAGTATCCTCCTAAACAAATGTCAAACTGATGATCAGCAATTTCCAAAACATTTTTCAACTACAAAATACAAAGCTTGAAATTTCACGACTTTAGTAACAGAAAACAGTGAACATTGTTCAAAATCTAAATATATTTATGAAAAAATATCTCACCATGTTGCCACTCATCATAATAGCCTACACAGCTACAATTTCTTTGGTTATAAAGCAATCAGTAACAGAGAAATACAAGACATGTCACTGAGCCCACAGGATGACCAGTTTTTTCATTATATTTATAACATTCTTTCAGGGACGAGGAATAACTAGAGCTTTGACCAGCATTTTTTACAGCATCCGAGCAAAGAAATGAATGCTGAACCATGATCGCCAATGTCTGTTTCAGACCTGGAACTTTCTGATGATGATGATAAGCAAGAATACATTAAAAATTCTGATAATCATAGAAATCAGGGTTTCCTGATTTATCCAGAAAATCAACACCTCTGTTACAGGTCTTAGGACATGCTCTGCCTAAAAATGTTCTGTGATAAAGATAAAACTATGGTAACCTAAAAACTGCAAAACTATTTCTAAAAACCAAAGCAACATATGACTAGTATCTCTTGTTGATTCATACCTTATATTCATCCAGCCATACTTCAGCAACTCGGGCGGAATTGCGCACAGAAGTGTCCACCCCCTTGGGGGAGCTGTACGGACGAAAGTGGCGGAACACATGGCCAACTCTGGAGCATGGGGCAATCTCCATCTTACCGCCACACATCCATATCTTAAAGAAAAAAGGCAAACTTTGACAAAACATCAAAATTTACAGTGGTGGTGCTCCACCGTACTATACTCTACCGTTTCTTTCATTATTTTTTTCAAAAGCCTTCTATTTCAAGAATGTGAAACTCAACTTACTGGTGTCTTTAAAATGTCCGCCAGTAAAAAACAGCGGAGTCATGTAACAAAAACATTGACCATGGAAGATGAGGGACAAGGGAAAAAAAGGAAACAGAGATAATACAGATTATCTTAAAGTGGTACCATACATGCATCTTTAGCTCAAAAAATAGCACAGAACCTGTTTCATATGAGAGGCACAAACATTACTGCTCAACTGTGTCCCATACTCTAAACCATTACTCTCTCTCTGAACCTTTCGATACAAACACATGTTGCATGCCCTGAAATATTAAGGTCTGGAAAGTTGAGCAATCTGATGACGTATCGGGTACATCAATATGTCATTGAAGGGGTTAATCAGAAAAAGGACACAGATTATTTCTTTTTCTTAGGAGCATAGGCACTTACTCTGAAAGATATTTCTACATTTTCTCCTCCCCAGATGTCCATACCAGAATCATATTCTCCAAGCTCATAAAAATATTTACGATCCATGGCAAACAGTCCACCAGGCATAGTTGGAGTTCTGTGGACAAGAAATGTTTGTGTGAACTTTGTTGAAATGATTTCAAGCCTTCATTCTCCATTCTTCTGCTTCTTGACTCCTTCCTCCTTCTTCACCTCCAACATTTTTTTTCTTAACTTCCTCTTAAAAATGCTCCATTGCCTCTTGGAGAAGAGCAATTTATTTGAGTTACACAAATCTTTCAAACCTTCATTAATTACAAATAGAGGATCAACAAAGAATATCTTATCTTAAGCTGATATATATGGATTAACTCTTTAAGCCCTGAGTTTTTTCTACCGTTTCCCAGAGTTTTTTAATACAGTCACCTAAACCTAGTGCATTATGTCTCATTATAATCCCAAAAGCTTGCCTCCAACTTCTAAATAGCGGAAACAAAGGCTTAGTCATTATTAAAAAACTTGATTCAGAAATAGTTTTGAAAAACAAGCAAAAACTGGTACTAAATAAAACGAAACAGTTGTCACTAGTACTGGACACTCCCAGGGTTATTACCGCTGGACGCTCCCAGCGTCCGATGGGGTTCAAAGAGTTAAGAGGCCAGACACAAAAGGAATTACAGTCGAACCTGTGTAAGACGGCCACCCATAGTCGTGGGGAAAAGTGGCCATAGAAGACAGGTGGCCGTCTTAGGCAGGACTAATCAAAATGAAAAAAATAAAACATTTACTTCTGAGGTCCCAATTGGAGGTGGTTGCAGGCTTAGGACTGCCCTAGGGCTGATTAAAATGTGTTGTTGTTGTTGCTGTTTTATTTCTTTTGAAAGGGGGGGAGAGGATAGGACAGTTTTTGTGGGACGTAGGACTTTTTGTTTGTTAGTTTTATTTTCATTTTTAAATTATGGTTCCGGGAAAGGTTAAAAAAAAAAAGCAAAAAAAAAAAAAGAAATGTTTCAGACGAGGAAGGCCAAGTGTCATAGTAAACCAAATAAATGGGTCGCCACCACTCAGCGAACGAGCAACACTTCTGTCGCCAGTTTGTGTTCACTTCTTTTGTTTTGGACTGGGCTTATGACTGAGTTGTGGGCGGGCCTTATGGGTTATGACGGATCACATGCTTCCCTGACAAGCAACTGAAAATTTATCGTTACCCACTGGTCTACTTGGGTAACCATTGGAAGTGACCTAAGCAACATCCACTGGAGGGACTGACAATAACGACAGGTGAATGGATTATGATGGCTTGTCCACAACGTCAGGGGAAAATGCACAATTTTTGACAAAGTCTGGCCGTCTTAGACAGGTAGATTTGGCTGTGGGTTGATAAAATAGGGTGGCCACGGCTGCATTGAATAGGTGCCCGTTTTACAGAGTTAAATTATTGTTTTTAAACGAAAGGGGGGAAATGGAAAGTGGGCCTTTGTCCAGGTTTTCGTCTTATAAAGGTGGCCGTCATGGCAGGTTGGATTGTATATTCCAGTCTATGAGTCTCGAAAAAGACCTAACTTCTGAAAATACATTTTTATAGAAACCTTTTCATAAACATCTGGAAACCTGAATGCATTGATAAAGCAGACTAACATTCAAAACCAAGAAGCAGAAAAATTCTAATGATAACTTCTTCACATCAAGGGGTCTTTCCCTCTGAAAATGAAAAATAGGTTTAATTATTCTGTTGTATAAATCCTTAAAACAATCCTAGATACAACTTTTAGAAGTACACACATAAATGGGTCTGCTGTCTCCTTCACAACTTTCTCAACTTCTAAAGGCAGAGCCTCCCAGTTGTGTAGCAAAGACCAGGTGAAGCCTCCTCTCACTAGATTTGCCCCTCGATACACAAACGTCTCTGGCTCTACAGTGTCCACGACTGGGACCATCACTGATCTTCTGTCCGATGCGATTCTGTCCAGAAGAGGTTCAAGCCAGGAATATCCAGCTTCTATGTGACTGTCAAGAAAAACTAGAACCTGTGAAAATACGCATAAAATTACAAAATGCTACTGTTGAGAAGAGAAGATTTTGTTAAAACTAACATTAAAGCCAGTCTTGTGACGGAAGCAAAATGGGTCAGTTTAGTTTTAGTAAGAGTTTTGCAGCACTTGCAACACAATAAGGTCATAAAAGCACCGAAGGTTAGAGATGTTACAAGAGAGTAACAAACACAAAAAAGGAGGGGAGATAAAGACAATAGATGTTTGATAGGAAAGAAGAAGCAAACCACACCAGAGCACCTGCCAACCAACCACAAAAATGGGCCATAAGCATCCAGCCATTACAAAACTTCAAAGACATTTTGTGTTCATTTCATGTCAACGGCTATTTTCTGACATCTGTTTCTCTCAATCATATTTTTCCAGTGTGGCATAATCTATCACTATGTCAAAACTACCCAGCTTTTTTTCCTTAATAGCTTTCTCAAATATGAATGTAAAATACGATTACCCTAGTTCACCGCTTGTCAACTTTATACCGTCATGCACACTTTGGTCACATTTTAGAGGCTAACATTTTTGTACCTCCCACATACACATGTACACGCAAGCAGGGCATTGCATAATACCTGTCACTACCCGCGTGATCCCCATTGCCAACTAAAATCACTCACTAGTGGGCAATACTGCCTAGTTGACTAGCACTGCTGTACTCCGTTTGAGTTTGAGTAAAGAGAAGCACATTGACACAATAAAATAATAACAGTCATAATATACACATGTGTCACGACACGGTGGAATCAGGCGCTTGTCAATTTTTGGACATGTGGAGTTATTGGTATCATCTGGAAGCTGATTTATTCGCCTTGCTTCCAATTAAATAAATATCCTTTTATCTTGAGTAGAACTCAAGATATTTGCGATTGAAGAAAGTGAGGTCGTCTGGTTTCAAGGAAGAAATTAGCCAGAAAATGGCCGCCAAAGTTTGGTAACTCCATTAGCTAAAGAGTCTTTCAAAACTGAAACATGACATCTTTAGTGCCTTTAATCAACGTTTCCCAGTGAAATTCACATGGAAAAGTGTTTTATAAGGACATAAAAGAGGTAAAGCCAAAGAATACAAATTTGATAAAAATTTCCAAACTGGAAGAAAAAGGCCTGTTTCTCAAATTTCGTTATTTTGACGAGCATCTGATTTCACCACGCTGACTCACATAATATAGTGCAGGGAGGAAGCATGACAGATAGATAGAAAAAACAGAAGGAAAGAAATGAAGTGAGACCTACCAATAGTGCCCTCCAACGACTTGCCTAATCAATTATGAAATATCCAAAGCCAGTATACTAGGCGTCTAAACTTTATATCAGGAAATAACAGCTTCTCAGGAAAGACCACTCCTTATGATCACTTCTTTGAGTATTACCTTACATATATATAATGCTGTAAATCTAGTAAAACATTCACCCACCGGGGCGGTGCTACTAACAGAAGGGTCTTTAGGGCCATTCCCACAGGGGGGGGGGGGGGGACATTAACATCTCGAGTTCTTATGCACAGTAGAATTATAATTGTAAATGGGCTGATTCATCAACGTCATGCTTATACCTGTGCCTGAACTGCAACCAGGAACTGCTGCTTTTTCTTTCATAATCCTTACTATCGTCATTTACCTCTATTTCTTCTGTATATTTGTAATACTCTTATGACCTGCTATTTCTGAGGCGCCTTGATAGTCGAAGCAGACTTGGAGCTGTTGAAGCTAAAGAGGTGAGCAGGGTAAGGACTTTTCTGTTGACATCCACCCCTCCGCCTTTTCTTGTTGTTTTAGTAGAGGTTTTACGGCGCTCGCAACTGCATTTAAGGTCATATGAGCGCCAGAAGATTAGAAGTGTTACAAGAGAGTAACAAATATAAAAAAGAAGAAGGGGAGATAAAGACGATAGATGTTTGATAGGAAAGAAAAAGCAGACCACACCAGAGCACCCGCCAACCACCCGCGCCACCCCTCGGCGCCCATATGACCTTATGCAGTTGGAAGCGCCGTAAAATCTCTACTAAAACTAAAACTAAAAAACCAGTACAATATTCTCGACTTAAACACGATATCTTAAGAGTCTTTGTAGGTCAAATTTGATCTAAACTGAAACAAACAAGGAAATGTCTGCCACTAAAAATTGTTATGATAAACGAGAGGCATAAAAACACTCACGTCTCCTGTTGCATGTTTTGCTCCAGCCATTCTGGCTCTAATCAGTCCTAGGCGTTCTTGACTCCGAAAAAGTTTGACTTTTGTAAAATTTGAAGCAATGTAGTCATCTAATGGCCGCTTGAGATACCCTATTGATTGAAGATATAAATACTGCACTATTACCAAACATACAAAAGTCCAGTAAATGAACAACTAAGATAAACTAATTAGCAGAAACTTTTCAGTGCTAAAATTTGCCAGCTGAGTTGTTGGCGAAAATTGAATTTGATTTCAAGAAAACACACCTATGTTACCAAAACATAATAATATTGCTTTAGGTGAATCTGCAATGAAATCTCTGTTGCACGAAAAAGATTTTTATGTTAAGATGAAAATAATCCACAGTTGAAATATTAGAGCTTCTAATTTAACAAATTTATTTAAAATTCACACATCATTACTGAAGTTGGAAATAACAATTTTAAAAAACTACTGAATTCAAATACAGTGCATAAACGAAGTTATCAATAAACAAAGCTTCAATGTCTGCTTCTCACTTTTCCTTGCTCTTAAACACTCAATGCTAATTGTTCCGTTCAAATTGTGTTCAGTTAAAGCATTCAGCAGAAAAGAAGCTTTTTGAAGCTGATCCCATTTACAGCTCTGGTATGTACTCTCCAGCTTTGGACCACAAAAAAAACAACATTATAACTTCAGTACTCTCTATTTCTTCATACTAAAATGAAAAGACAAGCATCAAAATGGAGTCTCCCTCCCCCCTCCAATCCTTTTTTCCCTCCCAAATCTTTTAGAAGGATGAGTAAACATGAGCCTTGATAAAAACAAGTCTAAGTCTAAGTATGTATCAGCTTAATTCTGTTAAAAACACCTAAAAAAACTTGTTCACAACAAGGTCGACATGCAAACAGGTAAAAAACTGATGAAAATATTGCTGTGTGGTGTTGGGCTATCACAGTGTATCTAAATCCAGATATTCTTACACACATATGTTGAGTTGTACAACTTCATTTCTTTTTAAACATGATATTTTATCAACCCAGTCACAGATCAGATATATAATATATTATATTGTTTCACTGCAAAACGCTCAATATCTAATTTTACCATAGGAGCTTGAGTCATCCAAAAGAATTATCTCCTTGAGCAAATGACTTGGGGTCTGTCTCAGGATGCTGTGGATACTTCGTAACAGAGTTGACCAGCCTTCATTGTAGAAACACATGACGATACTCGCAGTGGGTAACTGGTTTCTGTACTTTTTTGACTTACAACTGTTGAGTTGTAGAGAAAAAAAAAATAATTTCAGTTCAAGCTTAAGAGCAGACAGTGGTCTTGTACCCCTAAAAGATGAAGATTTACACAATCTCATAACAATCCCTTAGCTGTCCAGTTCATTTTTAAGTCTCCATCTAAGCCCCCCCCACACACACACCACCCCCGCACACGCGTGAGCGCTCACACACACACAGTGCTGAAGTCTGATGAGATGTTATCTGGGTAAAATGAGGAAATCACATTAAAGCACTTTTCTCAAGGACACAATTTATACCTTTTCTTATCGATCCAATGATTGAAACCACCATCTGATTCTGCCATTTCAACATTTTAACCAAAGGATAATATTATGATTCACAAGAAATGTAGTCTAGCCTAGGTAAAGTTCATCAATAAAGAGTAAATTCAGCGTTACTTTAAAATATCTCTGCACAATGTAATACTTATATTACTCTCTATACTAGAATTATTATACTGCCAATACATGCTTTGATACAGCGTTTAAATTTGCTGGATATGTCATTCACAGACAGAGAGAGTAAAATTGACATTTTTAATGAAAATTGTTTGGTGTGTTCTATCATTTTAAAAGGATACCAGACCAGTGAACTCGTCACACGGTGAAGTCGTCACATACCTCCAGTGATCTCGTCACAGTTATCTCGTCACTTAGGTTGGGACAAATTCGGACTCAAGGAAACTTCAACACGTCCTCAACCTAGACTTGGCTTTTGCGTATCATTTGACCCATGCGTCGCTGCACATTTGATTCTATATCTAAAAATAAAATCTGTTCTCCCTAGGCTTCCACTTGTTTCTATTTTTAGTTAAAAAAAGCTCCAGAAAACTCAGTCTCCGCATACTTTTCACTCTTAAAGCTGGTGCAAATTCAACAGGGTGAAATGGGGCAACTTCGACAGAGGGTGAAGCAAAAGTTAGGCCTTCTATCAGATTAAATGATTGGAAGGGAAAAAAAGCTCAGAAAAGGAGGAAGACAGATAACGGTAAATTTATAGAAAAGGCCCAAACCCATTTTTACGCCAGCTTTTTTTTACTCGACTTCTGTTTTTGTTTCCGATAGTGTACATAGATCTATGTATAAAGTTGTAAGGCGTTAGGTAGGGACCACTTCTCCTGAAGAGTGCCGTTCACTGTTATTTGGACCCTTTTTTCTGGTGAACTCGCCACACGTTTTTCAGCAGTGACGACTTCACCGTGTGACAAGTTCACTAGTTCCCTTTATAAAGGCTACATTCTCTTCAAAACTGAGTCGAGGCCAACAGCATATTCAACTTCTTGATATCAGTTAGGCAGAGATGAAGCCCCTTTACGTGGACAAGAAATGACTTAAAAATTAGCGTCTAACATCTGAGCTACTTTTATTTTTTATAGAAAATACAGAAAAATAAACACCCAAAGCAGGAGAAATGAAAATTGTTGTGAACCAAGCACATTTTTTAACTTCAGCTAGTTTTGAGTAGTCCAAAGCCAAGTTGACAGGGCATTTGTCTCTCATTCAAAAGGTCCTGGGTTTGAAACCTGAGAGCAATGAAAAAATGTTCCTTCTTTAAAATTTTCTTTCCTGTTCTCTTGTCATGTTCAGTCACCTGCTGTCATCTCAACTTTCTCCCTCCCTTTCCCCCACCCAGGCCACCTCTGGACTCCTCTCTCCTTTACTTCTGACTCTAGCCTACTGATACTTCTGGCTTCTCTTACTACTACTACTACTGATGCTTTTCAATCACACACCTGATCGTAATACAGGTAAGACCAACTAGCTTTCTCAAATAAGGGCGAAAATCTCACAGGTCCTGTTTGCAAGATAAGAGTGTCCTTCAAAACCAGAATCATGTGGCCACCTGAAGGAAGAGGACTTACAAAGAAGGAAAACTATTTTTATCTATCTAAATAAATAACAATAATAAGGAAACACAAATGATTTGAAATACTAACACAGGACTGCGGGTATCTGGGATGGCTCTGTCCAAACTCATCTTTTCACTCACAAAGTAGTTAAATCCTTGCTGTTGAAAACCTTGGGGGGGAAAAAGCCAATGAATATTTGTGAAAATGAATCTCATTTTTTTTTTCTCAGGAGAATCTGGAATATATTAAGTTAAAACCATTTGCTAATTATAACAGGTCATTGATTGTGACATTAAATAGGCTCTATCAACAAATAAAAATTACGAAAATCATTTTATAATAATATTTAATTAAATTGATAAAATATCTCTCCCTCTACTAAATTATAATAGCCTACTTCCCACTCCATCTCCCCCCCCTGTATTTTACTACATCGAAGTGTATACAGACCCGGTAACCGGGAACAAAGTCATGAAGTATACAGACCCGGTAGGGGAAATCTTTTGTGATTTCGGAAAGTTTCAGCGCCCAGACCCGGTAATGTGTTTGTGTGTGTGTGTGTGTGTGTGTGTGTGTGTATTTGTGTTTGTGTGTGTGTGTGTGTGTGTGAGAGAGAGAGAGAGAGAGAGAGAGAGAGAGAGAGAGAGAGAGAGACAGAGAGAGACAGAGAGAGAGAGAGAGAGAGAGAGAGAGAGACAGAGAGAGAGAGAGGTGCTAGCAAAATGTATATATATATATATGTCTATGACATGCCCGGTTGGCAGGAGGGAACGAGAAAAAGATAGAGTGGGAAATAGGTGGGGAGAGAGAAAGACAGAGACAAACAAAGAAAAACAGAAGGCCAGCGATACACAGAGGAGAGAGAGAGAAGCAGAGAAATAGAGAGGGTCACTGTTCGATTGAAATTATGCATTGTTCTTTTCTTCAAATTGTGATTCCTCCAACTCCAAAAACGGAGGAAAAACGATTGTTCATCGAAAAGACATCCGCAATCTTCATTTAGATCTAGAAGAACCTAGTAACCTAGGTCTACCCTGAGCCAAGAGGGCACTGAAACTTTCCGAAATCACAAAAGAGTTCCCCTACCGGGTCTGTATACTTTGTGACTTTGTTCCCGGTTACCGGGTCTGTATACACTCCCTTACTACATTGTAAAGGCACTTTCCGTAATTCTCCTCGACAATGATCAGGTAGTGGCCGTCTTAGACTGGTTCAACTCTCCTGTACAAACATGAGCACACTTTACACACACTTTTAAACTTTTCTTACTTCAAACAGAAAGTAGCCAATTAATTATCATGTTGAATGTAACCTCTGCTAATAAATGTTCATTACAGGTGCTGCTTTTAATTTACCTTCACTTCTCTTTGCTTTCTCCTCTTTTGATCCAACCATGCAAAGTTCATAAGCCGCTTGGTCCGAATGTGCGGGGAGAGGGGGCTCTTCAACATTGTTATCACTTGAGAAACTTGGTTGTGAGACCTGATTCTCCATCTCAGCATGATGCGTTTTGCAAACGGAAACACAGCTCTTAACATACGGTAGCAGGCACAGACTGCTTGTGAGCTTCAGTTTATAGTGTTGCAAGACATCATCTTCGACAAAAGTGTTTCCAAGAATGAATAGTATTACAGGAATAAATGATACGATGACGATGCCGGAGCACCCACGAAACATTATGATAGTTGGCCTTCTCTAGACCTAGACGCCCTAGCCCTAGTCTTACTCTTACACACTAAAACGGGGTTTCACAATCTTGGTTAAGATGTTTCCAACATTAAGCTTTCTTGCCAACGTGTTGACAGTATGCTAAACACTTTTAGGCCATAGTTTACCAATGAGTAGATCTAACGCGTACCAAGTGACCTAGCTAGTGCCTGGATCTAGCCTTGTCTTATCTGGAAAAACACAACCCCCAAGACAGACAACAGAAAAGCTTTTCCCTTTGAAAACGAAAGCGGAAGTCAAGTTCTCTCGGGTACTTTCGTTTCTTTCATTAATCATCAAAATGCCCCCAAAACCTGAAAAACAAATATGGGCCGTTGGCCTACTCATCGAGCGTTTGTAGCTTTCCACTATTTTTGCCAGTCAAGTAATTTTTCTTGCCTTTTCTGAGTACTCCCCGATATAAGCTTCCCTTAAGAATTAAGCTTAAAATGAAGTTCAAAAACAGATCTTATTCAAAGGGCACGAGGGCCTATATAATAAAATAATACAATTGTATTATAATAAAAAGTCCATGATCATGCCATTTGGGGGAATATGGGCTGGCAATGGAGTGATCATATAGTTTGGGCTGTCGTCGAATCTACAATTACCATTTCCTTTAGTTAATTAAACCAAATAAACCCTTTTCAGCCGCGCCATATCATTTCTATCGTGAAATGATTTTATAACAACAAAAACAAATCTCTGCTGGTTCAAAATTGCGAAGTACCACTAGGCCTAAGTGAGCAATCTTTTTTTACTTGGCGAAACTACATTCCATATGTTTTTACTTTTAGTTTTAGATCTAGATTTCTAGATTCCAATAATTCCTTAAGGCAAGGCATGATAAGGAAAGAGTAAAGACTTGCGAGGAGATCAGGCCAAGTTGAGTGGCTACACGAAGAAAAGACAAGTGAGTAGTAAAACTAAAGTTGCTTCTCATGCTCAACCTTGATCTATTCTAGGCTACACTTTACACTTTATCATCGCAGAAGTGGTAGGACTAATCACAACTGTTGTTTCCTGTTTTTCATGTCTCTGTTACAAGTTACACGCTCCTGTGTACTACTGTAAATCTAGATAGATCTAGATCTTGTGTAGATCTAAATGACTGATCTAGATCTAGATTATCTAGATCTACTTACTCTACTGACTGTATACTTCTAGTACTTATAGATCTAGATATCTAGATTAGGTCTAGAATCTAAATTCAGGTACAAGTGGATTATTAGAGAACGTAGGCTACTCCATTGGCTGATTTATTATTATATAGTAACAGCCATCTTGTTTGACGTCATTGAGGGATTCCCACTTTGTTGTCTGTCATTGTGGCTACACGACCGCACGACGTACGTAGGCCTACTCTTAGTCTTCTTCTTTTTCTCAATTTACATAGGAAGTGCGTATTTGTAGGGTAGCGTACACAGCTTTGCGGGCCGGGCAGTCACGGCCTTCCGACCGCGCGGTATCGGTGAAATCGGGGTAATTCCGATCTTTGCTCTTTCGCTATAAAACACAAAGTGCCATACACCTTGTTAAAGTTCAGCTTTTCCTCGTTTTAATGTCCGATTATTAGGAGCTGGAGAATCGCCGAGGAAAGCGAAGCCCCTCACGGTCGGAATGCATGGTCGGCCGGTTCAAAAATTGACACGCATGCATTCAAATGCTTCGCGGAACGAGGGATGATTAAATACCGTCTTTTCATTGGTGGAGAACTGTAGAGCTTAGAACGGGCTTTCCCGTAGTATATATTATTTGACCTTTGGCGTAGAAAGCCTTTAAAAATACCGTCACAGTTTTCAAAGATCATTTTTTTACACAAAATATGTACAATACTAGCTCAAAAAAGGATCTAATTAAAAGATCAGTTTATTTTTTATTAGAATAAAGTAATTAGCTTGGAATTATTTTGCATCAATCCTTCCGCGAGACTCGGAAAACATGTGACCCCCACGCGGGGTACACTATAGTATAGAGCCGACTTGCTCGCCGCGAGGACCGGTGCGGTGCCGGCCGGGGCAACGCTCTGTGTTTTTGTCGAAATAACGACAGATCATCGTGTTTGAGGTGATAAAATACTGATTTGTAATGATCTCACGGTCTTGAAAAAAATTAGGCTCTATATATATATATACAGTCGAACCTGCCCTGACGGCCACCTCTATAAGACGGCCACCTGTAGAAACGGCCACTTTCCATTTCCCCCCTTGCGTTTTTTCTATATAATTTAACTGTGTAAAACGGGCACCTGTCCAACGCGGCCGCGGCCACCCTATTTTAACACACAACCCCTATCACACTAAGCAATAACACCCGTCTAAGACGGCCACCTCAGTGACTCCATTTCGTTTAGTCATAAATTGTGCTTTGGCCCCTGGCGTTGTGGGAAAGCCGCCATAATTCAATCCTCTGTCGCTATTGTTAGGTAGTCCCTCCAACCGATCATGTTGCGTAGGCCCCTCCTACTGTTGACCAATAGCTACCAATTTTCAGCTGCTGGTGAGGTAAGCGTGTGATCCCTCATAACCCATAAGCCCCGCCCAGAACTTAAACACAAATCGTAAGTGAGATGAGTGGTCACTGTTTACCTAGTCTGTAACAAAGTAACAAAGGACGTCAACATGAACTTGTGACAGAAACGTTGCTCGTTCTCCGAGTGGTTGCGACCCAGGAGTTTGTTTTTACTTCGCACTCGGTCTTCCTTGTCTGATACATTTCGTTTTATTGTCACCCTTTTGCGAAATCAGCAACAAAATAAAAATTACAAACAAAATACAAACCACCACCAACAACAACAACAAAAACAACAATGCGGCTACTTTCGATTGGGACCTCTGATAGGAATAATTTTTCTTCTTCTTGATCAGTCCTGCCTAAGACGGCCACCTGTCTTATACGGCCACTTTTTTCCTTGACAATGGGTGGCCGTCTTACACAGGTTTGACTGTAATTTGTTATAGTGATTGTACTCTGTTAATGTGGAGATGTTTAGTGCACTTGGTACTCTTTTACGATCTGTCAAACATGGGGTTGCAGCCAGTGACTGACTTTAACAGATTTGATCAAATTTTAAACAACTACCATTTTCTTAAAAATTGACTGAGAGGTTGAAGAATGGTACCAAAATGCTCACTGGATGTAGGCCTTTCAAATGGAACAGATAAATTTGGCATACAGCTACTTTGAAAATTTAGTTTCTGGTACCTACTATTTGCAACGCCGCGTTGCGATTAGCGCCAGTTCTAAATAAAACGTCGTGTGTTAGCCTAGGCTATATGAAGCTTAATCTACCTTTCGTTGTTGGATGTTCTGATGGCCGAAGTGACAGCGCGTCTGCGTTTGAAGCCAAACCATTATTTTATGAGCGTGGGTTCGATCCGGGTCCATGAAATTTAATTTTTTTTCCTCTTCTCGACTGACCAACAAATTTTCCCCATAATTATAACTTGTTGCTTTGTAGGGTTTTTTTTATGTAGATCTGGTGGTGAAGCATGCACATTCTGGTTTTGTCCCCAAGAGGAGCTCTGTACAAAGTAGGGCTTAGCATAGCCTATACTTTTCCTTTTACTACCAATTTAAGCCTGGTTAAAGTTCAATAGTGGCTTTCCTTGGCCTGTGAGTCTAATTCTTCTTTCTTTTTTTTTTTTTTTTTAGGCTCAGGAGAAGAAAAAAAACCTTCCGGGACTGGGATTCAATGCCGCACTTGGAAGAACATTATTAGATTTAGTCCTAGCAAACGTAGATAACTTGTATACGTTCTCTAGGGCTAACTTAAAGAGAATATTTTTAGGTAGATCTAGAATATATTATAAGACGACACTGCGGACAGGAAATACTGCTTATACCGAGTTGCACCATCTTGTTATTGTTTTCCAAGCGTCTTTCGACTTCCTTGCTCAAACTCAAAACTCAAATGATTATGATTATGAGAGATGAACAAGACTACGTCTAGTCTAATGTTGTGCAAGCAATGTCAGAAGCAATCCCGCAATTGTTAGATCTAATCTAGATCTAGATTCTACCCAACATTGATCGGAATAAGACAACATCATAAAAAAGTAGTCAAATCCTTTGAGGTTTATCAAGAAGAAACTGAAAAGCTTCCACAATTTAGGCAGAACTACAATATTATCTTGTAGAAACGATGGCTACTAGATGTAGATTCTAGTACTGGCATTTCAAATAACATGGGAGCTATTCAGAATGCGGCGTTTCAAATAGCGCCTGCCATTTACATATAGGCCTAGTGTATTGCTTCAGAATCAGTCTGGGAGGAAGAAGGGTGCTGCATAATCACAGACAACCGAACCGAACAGTTCTGCAAGTTGCACAGAAAATAGATCTAATCTGAGTCGGCAGGCTGCGGTCGTGTTGCCACCATGACTGACAACAAAGTGGGACTGGGAATCCCTCAATGACGTCAAACAAGATGGCTGTGCAACTATAAATATCGGCCAATGGCGTACTCCTTACATTCTCTAATTATCCGCTTGTAATCTAGATCTAAATAGATCTATTTCTAGATCTAGATCTCTAGATCTAATCTAGGCTCTAGTACTCCTCTTATTTCTGTCTCTATGGAAGGGAAGGAATTCCAGACGGCCATCATCATGTCACCAAGAGCAGGAATTTTTACATACAGCAGTGTCGTTTGGCAAATTTAGAACAATGTTTACTTCGGCACGCAGTTGCACTAGAGATGTACATTTGAGGGCTCTAAATTGGCTGCAGAACACATGACGTCATATGGCATCATAATCATAGATCTATATCTATGGTTACTAAATGAAAAGGCCACCTCTATTCGGACTCGAATCCGAATTCATAGATTTTTTATCTATTCGGACACGGGTCTGAAAAAAATAGTTTTATTTATTCGGACTCTGCTTCTAACTTAGTGAGTTGTGAGTGTAAGGAGGTTACATAATATAATATAACTGCTGTTGTGGGATTTTACGTAAAGCCAGAATTAGTACTAGATCTAGATTTCCCTACTAGGAGTGTGTAACTGTGTCAAAAGTCAAAAGACTTCACTCTCATTGCCTAATAATGACAGTGTCTACGTACACTGTAACCAACAACTCAAGGTTGACATACATGATGGTAACCGACCCTGGGCACTTCTACCAGTAAACAGCATCATGATTACTTCCACCACCACTACAGCAGCATCATGATTACTTCCACCACCACTACAGCATCATCATATTGCTTCCACCATTTGTCTTTCCACATGTAAAATTTCATTTTGTTGTGTGTTATACTACTTTTTCTGCAATTAATTGATTTTAAAAAAATTAAATCACTCAAAATTGGCTACCGTTGCCCTCGTCCTAATACCTCTTCCCCCAGCAAGCCTAGAGTGCGTGATCAGTTACGGGCGATCTCATTGATCAACATATGTAACTTCGCCCCTGGCATGGTCCACTCAACTTGGTTGTTCTGAAGGCCTACTGTGATTAATTACTAGGCCTAATGATGCCAAGAGGGCCAGTTTAGAGATAGGCTAGATCTAGTAACTGAGTGTAAGGAGGTTACATAATATAACTGTCGCTTGGGGAATTTTACGTAGCAGGAAGTCGTAAGTGATGTCATCCTGGACGTGAGTCAGAGTCCGATTATAATTTTTCTTTAATCGGACTCGAGTCCGAATAGTCACTTCAAAATAAAAATTGTCACAAGAACTCGTTTGTTTTCAAGAGGATAATCTCAAAACCTAATATAATTATTTTTGTACAACTTACAATAAAGGGGAAAAATTCGTGGTAGGCCTATGCCCCCCTGACACACC